TTGTTGCACATATCAAACAGCTACGACTTAAATGCTTGAAAGCCTTAAACCTGCTCAAGATTCTATCGCATCAGTCATGGGGCACAGACCGTGACTGTCTACTGAACCTTCTCAACAGTGTAGTGCTATCACGTATTGATTACGGCTCGGTGGTTTACGAGTCAGCTTCAAGATCTGCATTGAAGATGCTTGACCCAGTGCACCACCTTGGGCTTCGGCTGGCCAGCGGTGCTTTCCGGACCAGCCCAACAGCCAGCCTGTATGTTGAGACAGACCGGTGGTCACTAGAACGGCGACGTCAGTTTACAAGTGTCGCGTATGCCACCAAGGTGCTTTCCCATATCGACCACCCAGCTCGTGTGCTATTGCAGGATACATCGAACGCCCTCCTGTTTTTGAGGCGACCATCAGCTACGCCACCGTATCCCCTCAGAGTGGCCTCACACCTTGGAAATATGCACATACCGGTCTCCAGTCTTCAACTAACCTCTCACAAGGACACTGTTGTGCCATGGGAAATGCAGGCTATCGATTGTGACTTGTCATTCCTAGAGGTAGGAAAAAATGGCCACCCAGTCGCGATCGATCAACACCTCAAGTACTTGCAGGCCAAATACAGGTGTGCTGAATATTATACTGATGCCTCCAAGTCCTCCGCAGTCGCATGTGCGGCACACGGTCCCGCTTCCTCTGAATCTAGAACAATGAACGAACATACCAGTATATTTACTGCAGAATGCTATGGCATACTTTTAGCTGTAACGCACATTTTAAAGGAGAAAGAGCCAGCCTCAATCATATACACAGATTCTCTCAGTGCTGTGACTGTGCTGTCCTCCACTAAGATACTCAAAAACCCAGTTACTAATACACTTCGAAAATGCATCATGTCAGCCCGCAAATCGAAGCTCAAAATCACGCTATGCTGGATTCCGGGACACTGCAACATTGCTGGCAATGAGATAGCGGACAAACTTGTGAAGTCAGCAGCACTCCGCCCATCAGTTGACGTAGACACCATCCCGTATGAGGACCTGAAGCCACTCATCACATCCCGAATGCGTAGACAATGGCAAGAAGAATGGAACACAGCAAATGCAAACAAACTGCACTTAGTAAAGCCAAGAATAGGAAGATATCCGACTGAAAAACGTAACAGGCACCAAGAGGTTGCACTGTGCAGACTCAGGATCGGTCATACACATGCAACACACTCGCACCTTTTAAACAACTCTCCAGCACCACATTGTGCAAAGTGTGGTGATGAGCTGTCTGTCGTTCACGCTCTAATTACCTGTCCGTACCTCGAACCAGAAAGAATGTGTCACTTTCCAAAGCTGTACAAATGTCACATTCCGCCTCATCCACAATTTTTTCTTGGAGACGATCTCTTGTTTCCCCCAAAAGTAGTCTTAAAGTTTTTAGCTAGTGTAGGCTTCCTACACTCCATAACATATCCTCACTAATCTCAGCCTCCTCTCAATCCTGAGGGAACCGCTGAGACTTTTTTTTATCAAATGTCATGCAGCATGCACTCCTTGTCTTGACAAGGACTGTTGACGACACGGCATGACTTTGTAAAACCCATAAGCGTAGCCCGTTTTAAACCCATCACACATAGTCACTACACCTAAGTTTAAGTTCTATACACTACTCTTTTACTCTTGCCACCCTGAGTAGACTTTTTATAATCAAATCGACCAAAAACCGTGTGTTTGGCGCTCTTTGGCCTGAGTTGCCCTTGTGCCACTAAAATCTACCATCATCATCATCATCAGATATTGAAGGCCTGGATGAGTGGGTGGGCAGAAAACAACGACGTGCTGACACACTTTCAGAACGGGTTCCGAGCTGACCGACGCCTGGAAGACGACCTCTTCGTGCTGATAAAAACCATAGCAATGGCTTGCAAGGAGTCCAGGAACCTGTATGATTGCTTTCTTGATGTAGCTAAGGCATATGACAGTGTCCCACATCAATCCCTATTCCAGCAAATGGTGGAATGTCAGAGTTGTGGGTCGGCCTAATGCGTCGATTGTACAAAGATAATTCAGTTGTAGCATGCTTTGACGGCCCGACCAGTAATGGTAACATGGGGACTTAAGTAGGGCTGCCCCCTCTCACCCCTGCTCTACATGATTTATGTTTCTGGACTGCAACATATGCTCCTAGAATCCGGTATCGACTTCTCATTCACCCACCAGTACGATGGAATGCCCGTGACCTGGAAGCTGCCGGGTTTAGTGTATGCTGACGACCTGGTCCTGTTAGCTGAAAACCCAACGAACCTGCAACGACTGGTCACCCTCACTGCGACACATCTGTACCACCTGGACCTGGCCTTCAATGCAAAGAAGTCTGCTGCATTACAGTTGTCAGGCTCCTACCTTAATGCCGACATATACCTGCCAGGAGGAGATCAGATACAGTGGGCCACTGAATATCGGTACCTCGGGGTAGTATTGAGCACCTGCGGTGACTTGGGGGCACATGAAATAATTCTGCGCAAGACTTCGCAGAGAGCAGCAGCAAACGTGCTGTGCCGAAAAAGCCTATAAGGATGCAACCGTTTCCTCCTCAACCGAGACTTGTGAAAGGCTGTTCATGTCCCAGGCCTCACATTTGCCAATGCCATACTGTGCCTTACTGTGACAACCAGGCAATGGCTGGAACGTGGCCAGCGGGAGGTGGGCCGTATGGCCCTTGGATGCCACGGGCGTGTCGCCATAGAGGCCATTCAGGAGGACCTGGGATGGTCCTCATTTGAGGCGCGCGAGGCAAGAAGTAAGGCTATTTACGAAGGCGCCTGCGACTCATGCACGACGAACGGTGGCCCAGGCGACTGTTCTGATATGCGAGTCTAACCGGCACCCAAGCGCAGTGGTGCAGGCGCCTGGGCAGCCTGAAAAGAAAGTTTGGCTTCTCCGCAAACCCTGTGATTGAGGACAAGATGTACAAGTGGGCCCATGCAGTGAAGACCCAAGTGTGTGAGGAGGAGACACAGCAGTGGCGGCTTGCCATGGAGGATAAATCCACACTGCTCACATACTGCACTCACAAGGCCAACATTGGCATGGAGCCCCTTCATGATAATAGCGGTGGCAGCGCACTCCTTTTTGAGGCACGTGCAGATGTGCTGCGTACGTTGGCATACTGTCGCAGGTTCAACACATCTGTGGACGTGGCCCGGGCCATATGCCGAATATACGGCACTGGAGAGGAGACCACAGAACACATTGTCCTCCGCTGTGCTGAATTGTGCCCGGGTCACCTAGAGGGCACCACCTTCCCGCTGGCACTGGGATTCCGAGGAGATATGGAGAAGAGCACAGCGGTGGCCAGAGCGGTTCACGTGACAAAACAGAGATTGGTGCAGTGGTGGCGCAGAACGTTTAGACGTTTAGACGTTTAGACAATGTAGCCGATCTGCAAAGGGACACTGGCTGGCTGTTGTAAACGTGATAACTTGTTTTGTGTGCGTGACACATTTTGTTTTTTTCTCTCTCTCTCTTTTCTCTAAGTCTCCCTTCTTTTCTTTCTTTGTCTGGTTAAGGCACTTGAGAGCTGCCTATCCGTTACAAAGGGCAGAACCACAATTCATCATCCATCATCATCAGCCTGTTTTTTGTAGTCAACTTAGCATGGCCACGCAAGTGATGTGTCATGTGTCACTCCAGCCTATCAACCCTTTCCCCCCTCTTTAAAAATGTGCGTAATAAACGTGGGAGAACACTCTCTCGCCAGTCTCACCTAAGCTCAGTCTACTTGTCGTCTCTCTACACGCCCCTTCGTTGCTCGACCTCTACGTTGTCATGCCGTGGGGTTACACCGCACTCCCTGCCAATACAACACAACAGAAGTATTGTACATTGGTGAGGTCACAAAATGTTCATTACTTCATTGTATGGTAAATTTTATGACATTGACGTTCATTATATTGTGTTCTAGGTGTTTATAGAAATGTTTTGCTATGCCCTTAAAGTTTTATATGCTATACGAGTGAGCTTGACTCTAAGGGCCTTCAACGATGGCTTTGGGATGTCCAAGCCACTCGATTATCAGTATTGAACCATGTCAACATGGTTGACGATGTTAGAACCCAAAGTTTGTGGGGGTCCCCCCCCCTTGTAAAGTTGTCTGCGCCGCGTGGCGCAGGCGTCTCGCCCCAAGGCTTTGTTTCGGTGGTGACCACCGCCGGGCGATAGATGGCGTTGTGTTCGCTTTGAGTACCACTGTTGTTGGAGTGGTAGCGCCGGCGGTGGCCCCTGGCGGAAGGCAGGCCTTGGTGGTGGGCGAGAGTTGAGCGAGCCTCTCCTGCGCGTGGCGACTGCCGCGAACGGTTGTCTGTGGCGTGGGTCCCCTGTGCTCGGCACCGCGGGCTTCGCGCCGGGGTCCCACGTGGAAAGTCAGGCATTGGCGAGGCCGCCTTGGGTATGTGTTGGGTGTGTTAGTGTGTGTTTATCATGTTTTTGTGTGTTTAGTGTGTCACTGCGTTATGTTGTTTGTATGGTAGCGTGTTAATTAAAATTGATGTAACATTCGGCGGATGATATCGTCGTCTAAATTAGTTAATAAATGTATATATGTTGTGTGCTTTGTACCGACAGCGTCTGCTGTGTCCGTTCACTCCAAGAGCGTGGCGTGGCGATGCGCTCGTTCGCCTCGCTGAGACCCCACAAGTTGGATAGTTTGTTTTCCTGGAATGTACAAAATGGTGTTCTTCAGTGTTGTGCTTAGGTATTTATCGTAAAAGCATCTACTAGTGACTTGGCAGGTTCATCTGCTGTGTCTCAAATGGGTTATGGAACAGCATATTCTTCAGAATGCAAGATATGGGTGACATTCTGTGAACTACAGGCAATTTCTCAGTGAGTTCAAAAACTTGTGTTATATATATTCTGCTGGCATCTGTGGACTGATGGTGTCACCATTGACTCTACAGTACATAAAAGCAGATGCAGTGTTACAGAGCAACAAATTTTAATCTTATTTTTTTCCAGGGTTAGCATGGAGGTGCTGGAGGGTGTTTTGAAGCTGGAAAATGTTGAAATCAAGGCTATGTGCAATGACGAACAGCCATACGACTCTGAGAAGCTCAGCCAGGTAAAGCATGGCTTCCAGAGGCTGTCTGAACCCTTTCGTCTGGTCTCAGTGGATTTCAACAATCATGAGGTACGTTGGTGGTAAGCAGAAAACATTTGTAAAGAGTCCCTTAACAGGCACCATTGCAAATTCCCGTTACACTCCAAGTTCTAATGCGGTGTCTGTGAGAGAAGCTTCTCAGCCACCGGCAACACACTGCACCCGAGCGATGTGTGGACATTGTATAGATCACAATAGCCCTGAGATTGCGCACAAAGGTTGGCAGCTAGCCACGTGCATTTGAGGAGACTTGATTCTGTAATCAAAATCAACCCCTAAATGGCTGCAGATATTGCAGGTTCGTACAAAACATCGTAGTCATCAGGTCCTGAAGCTGAGGTACTGTCGCCTTTGGGCTCGAAACTAGTGTCTCAAGAGCTGTGGTCTAGTGCATCCTTGCCACTCAAATTAGCTTTGGTCGCAAGGTAGTTTTTCGCGGCGCAGGTGTGTACTCATGTGCATGTTATGGCGATGCCATGGAAGCAACTACAGAGGTATTATAGCAAAACAGCCATTTGGACTAGTTGGTAGCGGTTTATTATGAAAAAAGTGGGGCGCGGTACATAGCACGAACTGGATTGTGAAAATTAGAATGGCAGCATCTTGCCTACGAGCCGCGATAACCGAATCATGTCCAGACAAACTGCCCGGAAGTTCCATCAATCAACCACAAATGTTAACACGTGCTGGTTTCCCACAGACAGTCATGCGCAAGGTAGCCCATAAGTTATTAAAGAGCGTAAAATCAGGTTGGGGGGGGGAGGGCACAAGAAGCAGGGAACGAAACATTGCACACATATAAATCTGTTGTCATCCCTTACATAAATAAAATATCCCATGGGTTGAAGAACGTGGCTAATCGCTTTGAGACGTCCCCCGCTACGCCACCGATTACCAAAAGAGAAGGAAGACCACTCAACCCCTTGTCTATCCGGTTCCCTCTTGGTTATGTGTCTCAACACTTCCCACATACAGGGATTCGTGCTGGGGCCGGGAAGTAAGAGACGCTAGGACCTCTTCCTGTTTACTAATTCATTAAATTTAATACTAACTGCAAACATCGTATAACCGCGTACATCAACCACTACAAAAAATTATAACACATGATTTACACACTCGCGACGTGCGACGCAGGATACATAAGGGAAATAACTTTGACAATACAATGATGCGACGATACAAAGTAAACTCATGACGACACAAACACGATGAAGTTATCAGTTACCAAAACACGCAATGTCTCAACACGCCACCTCCCTTTCCCGCAAAGCTAATCTAAATAAGGTGCATAAAGTCCGTCTCATGAAAGGTCCATGTTGAGGGGGCCTCGGAGCTGGCTGTTCGAGTCGGGGCTCAGGGCTTCTTCCTGGGGTCATTGTACAATTCGTCAGCCTCTTCATCGTCTTCGTCATTGTCGCCTTCGTCGTGCCTCATAGTGATTTCCATCTTAGTCTTCTCTCGTAACGTTCCATTCACTCGACTCCTATCCCTAACTTTCATTTCTCATCGTACCGTCCTTGCCCCAGTTATCATCTCATCGCCTCTCATCGCTATCTCTTCGCACCGTTATCTTCCTTTTCCATCTCGTCTCCCTACCATCTCGAGCTCATCGCATCGCATTTCTCCGTCTCTCTTCGCATTGTATCTTTCTGACCTCCGTATCGTCGCCGTATACCCCTTTTTCTCCCCTGGGAAAGACTCTCCTCGTCTTTCCCCTTCCTTGACACGTGGCCGCTTTTCTCGGGTTCTGACTCTGCCCTCCCGGGGCACCAAACCAATCGCCGCTATCCACGCGGCATATATTTTCTTCTCAGTCAGAGTGTATCATCTTCGGCGGCTGCCCCCGCGGCCTACACCAGTAGAAAACCCTCTCCCAAACAAAGCCGAGCAAGTAACAATGTACAAACTCAAGCCTCAGAGAGAGAGATGGGCGAGCTGTCCCAAGACACTTTAATTACGGGCGAACAATGGTCCCGATGCTTCCGGTACTTGGTGAGCGGTGAGCCGATGTCCAGACCAAGTCTCAACGTTTCCACGCAGCTCGGTGTCTCCCGCGAAATTCTCCGTAGCCGCCGCTTCTTCGTCATTCACCGCCGCGGGCGGCCATCCGCGCAGAACGCAGTAATGAGCCCTGGAGCCACGGAGGCTGACGGAAAGTCATACTGGACCCGGCACAGGTGCTGCGGCAGCGTCGCATTCCCCGAACCAACAAAAGGTGCTCTGCTGCTCCCCCATGCCACAAATCTGAAGGGTGCGTGCGGATTATCTCCACCGTACACTGTCACACGGTCTGTAGATGACAAGGCGCCGCCCGGTCCTCGTGTTTGCGTGGGGGAGCCCGTGAGAATAGTAGAAATAATCTGTCTGGTACTTCACTCCGGAATGCCCATTCGTTACACCGAAGGTTTTCTTTTCCTTTTTTTTTATGCGTGGGTTTGATAAACGAGCGAAAACATCTTGAAAGGACCGGGGTTCAGTGCTTGTTTGCGGGGACGTCACAGCTTCGATGAGAAAGTGGTTTTCTTTGCTCCGAATAAACTTAGTAACGCATGTGGAAAAATTGAGAGAAATATAGCAGCGAAAGCTAAGTGCATAGAAAAGAAGAAATGCCAGGTCAAACACAGCTCCCCTTTCGTACAATGTGTCATAGGAGTTGTGTACCTGATTCCGCTGTGGGCCAAACCGGCCGTTGTTTAAATATTCGTTTAGAAGAGCATTACAGAGCAGTGACTTCAGAGGACAGAGCCCACTTGGCACAGCATTGCATTATGTGTGGCTGTTCACCATTTTTTTGTTGACGCGACTGTCCTATCAAGGCATAGGGATAAGACCACCCGGAAAATAACAGAATCATTCCACATTAAAAGATACAACAAAAGATGTGTTAGCCACCCCTCAATTGCCATTTCAGAGAAAGAGTACTTTTATGGGGTAAAATCGCTGTACTAATCTTTTTTATCCGCTTATGTACATTTTTGCTTATCTTCTCTGTACAGGCACATGCACCTTGATATTTTGATGACTTTTTGCGGAATGTCGGTGGTTTTTTGTTTTGTTTTTTAGGCAAAAGAACTTGTATCATGTGACAATTTTTGTAAGTTATATATGTGTGCACTTTCAATAAACTTTCAATTATGAGTGTGCACTTTCGTTGTTCTTTCTCCCAATGTGCGCTTGTGCTGTTGTTCCCTCCTCCAGTCCCTGTTACGTGCCGCGTCCCACTTCTTCCATAATCAACTACAGACACCAGGCGCAGTCCTTTCTCTAAGTTAACATGAGATCAGAAACCGAAGCAGCTGGTAACCAACTGAAAAGGCCACATTCACATGTCATACACGCGGCATACCTTTTGGAAATAGTTTTTCGAGAATAAATCTTCTCTGACCTTAAACAACAGCTCTCTAGTAAATAGCTGGTGTGGGCAATTATTACGGCCCAATACAGTCAGATTGCGAAGCTGACACCATAATTTGACGTTTGGCTTGCAAGGTTTCGTTTGATTACAGAACTCTGATGTTGCTGAAGCATAAACATGAGTGGCACGAATTTCTTCAAAATACGTCAGCCACTCATCTTTTCTTACAACACGTGCACATTGGTTCTTGAAAAGAGCTTACAAAATCACTATGTTGCATAAGTGAGAAAATTCTATTTCTGTCTGAAAGTTCAGTGGCTGGACCAACAACTGGGAGCTGCTAGGGACACGAAAAACAAGAAATGAATCCAACATACCAGAATTGACAATTCAAAACATCAATCGCAGGTTGATAGCAAGCAATGTTGAATCCCTTGCCTGTGAGCCGATTCTTTGTGCACAACTGGCTTCAATGTTTATTTGTATAGTCAGAGCATTAGGGTATATATGGCTTGCAGCTCAGTGCATACGCTTTTTACACTGTTTTAATTTTTATGATTACTTTTCTTACAGGAGATTAAAAGCCTCATCAAAGGCATTGAATGGAGAGAGAAAGTTATTTGCGCTCAGTCTGGCATCGTAGACGCCGTTTGCTTGTGGTTTAGGCTCAAAGTAGGAGATACGTGGCTGGACACAGGACCAGACTCAAACAGCTGCTGGGAACAAGCCATATTCACTGGTAAACTCATTAGCGTAATGGACTCATGATATTCAAGTTGTTGATGCCTTCCTATACTTGCTTGCTGGTATAGGAAACTAGCTCTAGGTAAAGTTCTGAATCCGTCGCACTGTTGCAAACTTGACATACCCTTTTGTCTTACCACTGAAATGGTTTTGATGATTTCGTATGAACACAAAGCTGGTAAAACATGTCATAATATTAAATTGAAAACTGATTTAAACTCTCTGCATCAACTGTGTAATGTATTACACAGTCCTGCAACTCAACACCTGGTGCCTCCTTGCCCGTTGACCCGTCAAATCTCTTCCATTTTTTGTTATTATGCCGACCCCTCCCCCCCTCCCCCAGCTACCTTGGCTCGCTCCCTCTCCTATTCGCTCGCTGCCGCTCACCGTACGTTTTTCCTTTCTGTGCGCGGCACTTCTCCTGTCGTAATTATTTATCTGTGTGCCATAGTGGGGTTCACGAATCGTGCGAGTCTAGAGACATCGCAGCTGACAAGCACACAACGAGCGAAGGTCATGAAACTGCCCATGCCAATTGACGATCGCTTTCTATAAATACGAAACTTTAAGGCCCAATGGCATGCATGCAATTTTCGAGCAACGACGACTGGATTTACTATCGCCATGGATGTGGGGAAGGATCACACGTCCACCTAGTGTCTCAGGTTTCTGGAAAACCAGGAAAAGTCACTTGTTGCCCAAAAAAGATCGTGACGATTTCCGCAACATGGTAGCACCCACGATTCTCGCCTTCGTTGCAGTTTTCTCTTCATGCTTGTTATTTGCGCGTACTTCAAGGAACGCAGACTATAGGCAACTTTTTCTACAGTAACTTCTCATGTGGACAGTGATGTGGCGGTTGTATTTTGTCATTAATCTTGTTATCGATGGTTTGTTTTGATGCTTCGGTGGTAGCTGGCTGCAATGTCTACAGCGGCCTCGCGGTCATCGCGAGAGATTGCCACGAAGTTGACAATGTGCATCGTTGCGCACGATTCTGGGCGCCCCTCAAGATCACATCAGAAATTACTGTTCCAGTTAAACAATTGGGAGAAAAGAAAGTCGCAAAACACTTTTATGGAGTGTGCGGTCGCGCAGGGACAGCTTGCAGAAGATGGTGCCTTTTATCATTGAAGATGAGTGAAGTACAACAAAGAGGCTGTTTCTAAACAATCTGCACTTATGTCAATTGCAAAGGCTAAGTGACCCAACTTTGTTTTTGGTTTTTTTTTTACATTATCTTATTTACTGATCATCTCGAAATAGTTTTCATAATGTTTGCCCCGCATAATAAACGCACCCTCAACTTTGCTCCGACTTTTTTTAGAAAAAGTTGCATTCATTAAGGGGGTAAATATGGTATCTCAGTTTATATTATAGAATTTTCTGCGGCAGCAAGTGTCATCTACCTGTGTTATATGGTTCGTGTTGGTGTCAGCTGAGCGACGTGTCTATCTCAAGGTTTCTTTTATTGCACACAATGAATTTTCCTCGCTGTGTTGTATACACACATCTAACTATCAGTGACTGGTAAAACTGCAACATCGTGTAATGTTTGTGAGGCATCTGGCGAGCAGAATCGCTTCAGCTCGTCGTTGCGATGCGCGTCGTGCTCTCGCTGCTCGGTCAACGCTACGGTCTATGTGTCTGTGGCTTAACTTTACCCCAGTAGGCACAACCATACTGCCCGAGTTTACGTTTATCGGTGATCGTTCTCAAATTTTTTTTGGTTCACACATCTTAGTGGGTTGTCGCTGTACGAAGAATAAAATAAGATACGCTGGTATTGTCGTGGCACCTGTCATAGCAGATATCATACACTCCGAGATCTTCACTGTTCCCAGACGGCGGCTTAATGCCAGGCAAACTCAGATATGGCCTCTGAGTTCACGCGCAACCTGTTGGCGCTCAATCTTGGTGGCTATGACTAGGCGAAGCTCGAACGCTCAAGTGCACACATGAGCGCTGCGATTGCTAGCAATGCCAGCGTATCTGATGGGTTGAAGTACGCTGAGCACGCCAAGCACGATGAGCACGCCAAGCATGATGAGCACACAGAGCTGTAGTACTGAATTCTCATTGATTTGTGGCAGCACACTAAGATTCGCTGAACGTTTGTGTTGGATGCTGAAAGAAACGGCCACACTTTCTTGGTCTAAAGGCTTCGCCAATGATTACAGCTTATCCTGTTCATGGCATCTCCTTATGGAGACACCAGCAGACGATTCCGCGACAGTGCCCAACAAAAAATGGCGGACATGCCCAGTGTTGCTGGAACCCCAAGCATTATGAATATCTCCTATTAAAATATGTTGGCGGTCGTCCTATCGTCCACTTCATGAGGTATTCCCGTGCATGCAAACCTGAGAGTGTTAGTTGGCGCCGCTTCCAGCTATGGTAGCAGTATGGAGCTCCTGGCATTGTGTTCTATGTAGCCTTTCAGCGAGTTGGCAGCTCACCAATAAGGCCTCGCATCTACATGAAGACATCAAGTCTGCCAGAATGAGACCCTTGCTGTGAGCAATTGAAAAAAGGGAATTAAGGGCTTATTTTCATGTTTGACAGTAACAAAGAAAGAAGCCCTTAAATAGATTTCTTTCATGCAGGCCTGTCTTTGTTTTCAAGTCATACACTAGGCTATATTCATTCCATTTGTACTGTGTTTCTTTTGCAGGTCCAAGTGCACGGGTGTCGTGTGGTGATGTGGTGGAGCTCAATGCAACCTGCCAAGGCCACATAACTATGCAGTGCGTCTTGCAGTCATCAAACAATGCCCCTCCTAAAGAATTTCTGAGCTTAGAGCCTGCCATTATTCGCGCTATTAATGGGCAAGCTTATGTAATGGCGCGGATTTCCGAAAAACTGATTCAGGCACGCGAAGAGCACTCGCCGCAAAGAATACTGGATATTTCATGCGTTCCAATCCTAGGTTTGCTTCTTGCACAGTGTCGACCGAATTGGAAGCTTACTTGTATGCACAACTCTGACACGAAAGACTTTGTTCACCATTTTGTGAAGGCTCACAAGTTGGAAGCTGTTGTTAATGTGGTCGACAGCTTGGACGAATTGTGCAGTGAGAAACAGGAACAGTATGATGTGTTTATTGTGAATGTCTTTGAACAATCTGGGCTTCTGCGACAGGGTGTTTTAGAAGACATCGCACTTTTAAGGTAAGTGAAAAGCACTCGTTTTAGAATACAGATATATTTTTCATCTTTTTTTTACTGGTAAACGACTCATTTCCACAGCATCAGCTGTAATTACTTTGCAGCCTTGGTACCTTGAGCATTTGCTGCCTCATTTATTTAAATTTAGTTTGACTAGTTTATAAGATAGGCATTCTATCACTGGCTAACAAGTTATGCTTCATTCGAGCAGCTTGCCGAGCCAGCAGTTAGTTCATCACCAATCAGTATTTGCCTGTTGATGTTCAGTGAATTTTGTGCTTCTGGACAAGACACTGAGTATATAGCTTGTGCTTCACCAAACGCATCTCATAATTTAACTGATGCTGCAAAAGGTGCGAAAGGGTTAGATAAATGCATTGTCTGGCTAGCTTTGGACTTGCCCATTCCATAACAAAACACTCACACACACTATTAAAATAGGTGATGTGCGAGAAGATTTTTATTCCGCCCCTGTGATACTGAACCATGCTCCTGGGCAGATTTCTTTCATCGCCATTATGAATGCTGCCTCGACTTATTGCCTTGACTTATCGATGCTTTGAATCATTTTTGAAAAAAAAAAATGCCCGAACTCTTAACTGCCTATTGTCACAAGTTCGTGACATACCGAAAAACATTGAGCAAGCTAGACACAAAATGGGTGTCGCTTTTAATGCCGACTGTAAAATACTCACGGGGAACTTAGCTTTTAGCACAAAAATCTAGCTCTACCTCGTGTAATTTACTTTATCCTCAAGCCAATTGTTTTGTAGCTGATGGTGGAGTGCACAAAGCATGCACAATAGCCCTCACTTCTTCATTCTTTCTCACCTGGCTGACCCAAGTTCAATCTTCAAAACTTTTGTTTAATTGGTGTGTACGTGCTCAAGTCGTGGCACACGACATGTGGCGTAGATTTCATGACATACAAGAAAGTGTACATTAAAAGTGCATTTTAGATACTTTAACTGTAGAATCATTTAAAGGTTGCTCTATAAAGCTGGAAAATAAAAGAAACAATTTTTATTTTCTTTGGCAGTTTCATAAATTAGGCATTAAAGGGTTAAAGATAAGTTTCGAGAATGTGCATCTGGCTTTGTTGCATCTGTGCAAACAAAATTTCACTATCACATGGAGGCTTTGTTGCATTCTTCTGCATATTTCATTTTCGTGTACCAGTTCCATCATTCCAGCGTATAATCAATAAAAACAGCATTGTCCCTCCTGTCTTTTGCATAATAGAAAACTAGGACATCTCTCTTAATATGATTTACCAAATCTGCAAAGAAATACTGTACTGGTTCATTTTTTTCTTACAGGAAGAGTTGCCTTAAGCATGACGTTACAATGGTTCCTTCTTCAGTAACGCTCCGGGCTTTACTAATTGAGAGTGCAGCATTGGAAGAACAGTCGCGTGTTGTATCTGACAGCCGTACCCTTGGCTTCAAAATTTCAGATTCTATCAATGCTTTTCAGGTGGGTACAACACTTCTTTTTTTTTCGTGCTAACATAAAATGCGAAAACGAAATCATATTGAAAGACCCAGAAATTCGGTTACTCTGTGGAGATGAACTGTTTTGCTTTATTTTTCTCTCTGGTGATCAAATTCCAGGTTACTCTGAGGAAATTAAATTTGTTTGCCTCTTCATTATTGTGATTTCGTTTAGCCAATCAAAGTGTTCGAATGTCACTTGTAGCCAGTTATAGCAACAGCCACATCCAGACAAAGGGCCCTGTCATGGAATGCTACACTAAGACAAGTTTAGCTTTAGGTGTGATTTATGTCACAAATTAAGGACCATGAAAAGCTGATCAGTTAGCGGCCAAGTAGCCAAGTAGGGCAAAGTGTGAGCACAAACAATCATTTCATATAATGTCTTCAGCTGGCACCCATATTTCTACCTACAGCATTTTTTATGTGTCAACATTTTTATGTGTCAATCACTAAATTTTAGTGGGAACTCAATGCAGTGTGACCTAATAAATGTTCCTAGCTTGCTTCTGTCATTTTAAATGGTTTAGGTATTGATTATAGAAGGTTTACCAAATGACATAAATGGCGGCATCAATGTCAATAATTCGATTGTGAGGTTGACCATGTCCTTACTTTTCATGCATTAAACACACTTTTTATGGCTGTGTCCCTGTGCCTTGGAATCAAAATGCTAAAGAAAACTGAAATTCGGCTGAGTATCAATTTCAAAAAATATTTAGAACCTTGCAAACGGACCAGCGCATGTTTATCTTAGAAAATATAAACCAGAATTTTGAGTTGACTATAGAGCTTTTGCAAATGCGAGTGTGATCACTTAATATGTGTACACACACACAGGTTAAGGCTGAGCTGTACATAATGGAGTGCATGCCCAGGTTTTGCATAATCTTAGCCTGTTTGCAGATTCTTCCCTGCATTAAACCCTCTGAGAGCTATAGTGCGCCATCCTGCTACAGTTTTTTGAACTTGGTAACTGAGAAAAATGTACCATATTCTGAAATTTTAGTGGCATAGTAATGGTTCTCAGTTACGTCACATACAATAGCGTCAGAAGCCTCAGCCCTCCTTTCTTTCTAGCTGTGCCAATGGAAGACACTCAAGACACCAGCAACACAGAAAACTTGATCAATGCATGCACCAGAGGCACACAGGGAGAAATATTTAGGAGGTAAAACTCCTGTTAGAGTACACGTCCACGTACGTCCAGACAAAGTCACATAAAAAAAAAATTGACAGATCCCACATACAGTGGGAATCGATGATATAGATGCACGAATGAGAAAGGTTGGTATGTCACTTTAAAATCAGCACATTGTTACGAGGTGGAGGTAAATGATGCCGTACAGGACTTCCGTGTCATGATTATCATGTTGGGATGCGTCGTTTACCTTCGTCATCTATTCACGTCACGTGATACCAAATTTAGTATATGTGGAGCTAGCGAAACGGCTGCGAGCACGCAATGAGCATGGTATGTTGTCAAGTTCTTACATGACACGCATGTCAGGATTACCATGTTTGCACCAGTCATATATTTTGTCATCCATTGACGTCACGTAGCACCAAATTTGGTATATGTGGAGCTAGCAAAACAACCGCGAGCACATCATAGAGGGACCAATATACTCCTATGTAGCATTGACGCGCACCCACGCTGAGCACAGCAACGCTACGTTAGCAAAACGTGAGAACTCTACAGTCTGACGCCAGACGCGACCGGCGCAACCAGCGTCCGTCGGCACGGCCCGATGGCAACCGGCGCAAAATAAGACATGCTGCGTATCGCGCCAATGCGTTACCCAGACAACACAGCATCTCCCTCTTTTCGAGACGGAGGTACGCCAGACGCACTGAAACACGCATGCGTCAAAGCAACGCAGCACGGCGTTCACCTGAGAGTATATGGCAGGACCGGCGCCTGGCATGGCAACGCCGACGTGACGCGACGAAATGAACGACGGCAAGCACGCGCACCGCGTCACATCGAAATGTATTGGTGCCTTGACTGTGGCATGTAGTCATTTTCTCACATGACATGCATCTAATGATTATCATGTTTGCACCAGTCACATACCTTTGTCATCCATTGATGTCACGTAATACCGAATTTGGCATATGTGAAGCTAATGAGACGGTCATGAGTGAATAATGAGTGTAGCATGTAGTCATGTTGTTACAGTGCACTCATGTCGTGATCACCATGTTTGGATGTGCCATTTACCTATGTCATCCGTTTGCAATGCGAGATACCAAGATTGGTACATGTGAAGGTAGCGAAACGGCCGCGAGCGCATCATGAACGTGGCATGTAGTCATGTTGTTACATGACACGCATGTCATAATTTTCATGTTAGGGTCTGTCGCTTGTGTTTGCCATGCAATACCATACCAGTTTTGCAACATGCCATGTGAACGAAACCACCGCAAGTGCTGCAGGACCATGAAACGTAAATCATGACATTAATGACACACATGTCATGATTTCCATGTTATGATTAGTCAGATATGTTCTTCATATAGTCATGTTATGCCATACCTAGTTTGGTATCGATACTATTATCGAAACGGCCAGGAAAGCTAAAAGTCGTAGGCGGCTAGACAGACAGACAGACAGATACGTTCAAAGTCGCCGAAGTTCGGTAAGAAATGCTTCGCATTTAAAAACAAAAAAATTAGGCAGATCCCACATGCCTGGGAATTCACGTTATGCGAAGCATGCGGAAGAAAGGTGACCATGTTGCAATTTTTTTATTGAGCGACACATCATGAAGTGACCCTAAATTAATGTACAAATATCACACACACAGACAAATGTTGAAGAGTTGCAGATGTTTATATAACCAGTTGCTTGCACTTGTGCCACGATGCCAACTGGAATATGCATAAGCAAACACCAGAAGCTGATATGAAGCGCTGATGCTCGCGAAGATGTCTGCCCTGGACACTGCTACATTAATCAACTTCAGTGCATGGCAACTAACCACATCTGACGTTAACCTGACGTAACGGCTGTATCAAAATAGTACATATGTAATGTTTATAGGATTGGGTAGGCAGCACTAAAACCACTATTAACGTTTCACGAAGATTAGTGTCTGTTTGAAAAGTAGTTTTGAGAGCTGGTATAGCTCTGTGGTAAAATGCTTCATTGGCACCCAGAATGCTTGGATTCGATTCCAGCTAGGGCTCGTCCGGTCGGCGCTACTGACGTTGGGTATTCCTTAACACTCGCGCGTTAAAATTGACCTTGTGTGTTCTCCTCATTCCTGTGCAGATACCAAGCTTCAATCACCAGTGGCACATACACGCATACCAGTGGCACATACCCGTTCGTGGGTATGTGCGACTGTCTGGCGGGAAGTGTTTGATGACGTATGCGACGGATCTTGACAAGCGCGTCGTATTCATCAAACTATCTTACCCTTTCATGCTAATTTTGGTTCATGCCAAGTAAAAGGGCCATCACGAGCTCTTCATTCCTGAGCAGATACCAAGCTTCAATCACCAGTGGCACATACACACATACCAGTGGCACATATCCGTCTTTGGGTATGTGCCACTGTCTGGCGGGAAGTGTTTGACGGGATTGTGACATTACTCGTCTTGACAAGCGCGTCGTATAACTATCTTACCCTTTCATGCTAATTTTGGTTCATGCCAAGTAAAAAGGCCACCACGAGATCACCCAAACGTAAGCGGCTAGATAGACAGATACGCTCAAAGTCGCCGAAGTTTGCTAAGAAATGCTTCGCATTTAATAACATGCTCTGGCAAAGACATTCCAGTTGGCGGCGCCTTGCGGTGCAAAGCTGCCGCCACACACACACACACAAAAAGGGAAGAACGATACTGGCTGAGCGCATCCAAACACGTGGCGGCTCTGCGACTGCGACCGAACGCGAGCATCGCGTGCGACGAGTTTGCTCGGAAATCGAAATGGCGGCAATTCCTTTTTCTGCCGCTAGACCCTGTCAGCATGATTTGGCCTTCCGGCAATGTGACTATATCTGGTCGCCTCAAGGAGCAGAGTTCCTTGTTCCAAATGTTTTTTCCTCCGTGACCAAAGGCAGTGGCTGCTTGGCGATGTTTGAAAACATAGCACACACAGCTGTGGTTACTCACTGGCATAACGCTTGTGCCTGTGTCTTGTACGAAGTGCAGCTCCTCGCAGTTGGTGTGGCTAAAAGAAGGTGCTTTGAGTAGGTTCAGTTAAATGTAGAAGCAGTTGTCTCTGCTTTAATTTCTAGAATGAATATACAATAAGGCCATTCCTATGAAGCCCTAAAAATGTTATCTCAAATCTTGACCAACATCTGTTGGAGCATTAACATGACAAAGATATTCTAAGAATTTGGGTTTGCCCTTCTGAATGGTTGCATCATTGAGGCTGCTGCATAGCATGACGATGGGTAGACTAGATAGATATGTGGTGTTTAACGTCCCAAAACCACCATATGATTATGAAAGACGCCGTCGTGGAGGGCTCCGGAAATTTCGACCACCTGGGTTTCTTTAAGGTGCACCCAAATCTGAGCACACGGGCGATGATGATGGGTGTACATGATTATGAAGTTCATACAAAATTTTAATGCTTATAAGGTCATCACTTGGTGCCACTTGTCTTGTCAGTAAAACACCTGGCTACATGTAATTTATTGCTTGAAAATTGGATAAGTAACAGTGTGCAATATTGAGTAGAATAGTAAGTGATCACTAGCACTAATTGGTTATGTAGCTTGTTTTATCAGTGGAGTAACTGGATGCATACAGCTAGTTACTGAAAACCTATATAAATAAGAGTTTGCATTGTGCTGTAGATCTCTTAGGTTATCGATTTTCTTTTGAACCTACATTTCTCGATGACCCTCAGGTCCAGATGCAGCAAGACATCTGCTTTGCGACACTTCCACATCGCCCACTGTCTGATGTCTTCACCCTGCTGGAAATCAACATGTGCAACATTGGACTAGATTTGCCCGAAATCTCGGCAGTTCGGTCTGTGCCTTTGCGACAAACGGGTCGGATATCAGGCTGCTGCTATTGGTTTGAACAGGAGTGCTTTGGTGGACTGACTGCGAGCAGTTACAGTGATAAAGATGCTTCTCTTCAAGCGGCTGTTGTGTTTAGTAGCGCAGTTCATGGAACCGTGGGGACTACTGTAAGGGTTGGGACATCATGCGTGGACAGTAGTATCAGCATCTGGCTTGACAATATAAGAAATTGAAAAGTACTGCAGTAAAGGTGTCGATGGCAAAAAATAATTGTCTTGTGTGTTTCCCGCTGTGGTATATTAGACTTAGTGTAATTGCTAGGGAATGGGCGTGTAGTAAACTTAAGGTCCAAATGAATTATAAGCAAGCAGTGATTTTTAAGAATAATTTGAAATATAACAGTTTGAATAGTGTGTGTGTGTCATATTATAGAGAAAAATGTGCATTTTTGTAACGACCCAACTTACTTGCACAATATATTTTCAAGAATAACACAGCCTGTATGGATGTGTTATGGATGTGTATGGATGTGTCTTTTTTTTTGGTTCACACTAAAGTGGAAGCAACTTTCAATAATAGCAAGATTTGATTAGTGCTAGGGAAAAAATTATCGGTGGAAAATTGAGTAAATTTTAGAATTTCCTATAGTTAGCGCAGATAAGCCTGTATAACACATTTTTAAACTAAAGAATAATAATCAGAATGCAAATTATGCGTGCACTTTGAAGTGTGGCTTCACGGCGGTGTGATGTCTTTTGGGTAAGTAGTTTCATGGCATAGCAGCCTCACTCTGTAGTGAAACCAACTTTGCGGAGGTTACGTGAGGTATAAAGAGAGAGAGAGAGAAGGGAAAAAAAAACGTCCATTAGTTTGTTTCAAATGCCTAAAAATATCAGAAATTTCAAACTCGTGTTGAACAGAATTTGGCTACTATAATATACGTTTGAATATTTGCCTAGTAATTACACTTGGTGACAACCTATATAATTGAGTAAAAGCTTTGACTATGTACAGTGTCACAGTGCACCTATACTTACTATGCCTGCACAATCTTAGTCGTAGTTCCAATGAGAGTTTCATTTTTGAAAATGTTTGCCTTCATAGCGTCGTCAACAGCAACAATGAAAGAAAAAAGCAGTTGTAACGAAATTTGGACAGATTGCACGCACTGTGGGAATTGATGTTACAGGAAACATTGGGCATGGAGCTGTTTTAACTTCAAGCGAAGTGTTACAATATGTATTGACGTCTTTTTGTCGTCAATACTGTTGAGTAGTTGTGTGCATGACGCATTTTTACCCGACACGTTGACTACACTGTGATGGCTATAGGGTACATCAACGTGCAGACTTCAGCCACATCAGGGAGTGCTTGTTGTTATATATATATATTGCCGCCAGCACGTAGTGGGTTGACAGCAAGAGCGGCTCTAAATCTGGAGGAAAAAAGAAGATCGCGTTCTTCTTTGCTCGAGAGCCAGCCACGACTGACGCATCGTCCTAGTGCTAGCTACGTGGTGCTTTATTAAATCCCCCAGTACTTGTGACTCATCGTGACAACTGGTGGAAGTGCTGGGTAGTCTCACGGATGCTACAGACCCCCCCAGGAAGCCGCGATACGAGTCCAGTGCCAGTCAATACTCCCGTGCATCGGACCAGCCGCCGAATCAGGGGATTGCCTCCGGAAGCCGACGATACTGCTCCCACCACGTCGACAAACATGACCAGCGCTTCGGTGCAAACCTCGGCGACCGGCACGGGAAGCACGACGTCGAACCGCTACACGTTGGAAAGCCCACGCGCACCGGCGACGTTCCATGGCTCGGAGCACGAAGACGTTGAGGACTGGTTGGCGGATTTCGAGCGCGTAGCCGCCTTGAATCAGTGGGACGACGCGGCGAAACTGGGTCGTGTCTACTTCTATCTCGAAGACGGGGCACGTACGTGGTATCAAAACCGAGAGGAACAGCTGACGACGTGGCCCGAATTCTCTCGTAGACTTCTGCAGACGTATGCCAGTGCTGATCGCCAAGAACGAGCTGAACGAGCTATTCTGGCCCGCGTCCAGCTGCCAAACGAAACTGTGACCACGTTCGTCGAAGACATGACGCGCCTCTTCCGACGGGCCGATTCAAGAATGACGGAGGACAAGAAGTTGCGTCACTTGATGCGCGGTGTCAAGGACCAGCTTTTTGCCGGCCTCGTGCGCAGCCCTCCGAAGACGGTCGCGGAGTTCTTGTCCGAGGCCGTGACAATGGAAAAAATGCTGCAGCAGCGATCCAACCAATACAACAGGCAAGTCAATGGCATGTCTACTGCCGACATTTTCACCGCCACTAGAACCAACAACGACTATCTACGTGAACTCATCCGTGGTATAATACGTGAAGAGTTACAAAAGGCTGGTGTAACACCTCATCCTACAGTAAACTCTATTACAACTGTGATCAAGGATGAGCTGCACCAGGCCCTCCGGGACACCTTGCCTCATGATACAGCTGTGCCAGCTCCTGCTGAATACCGCCGTGAGACAACCTACGCAGAAGCTTTGAAACGCCCTGCTGCATCGCCGCCATTATTCGTCCATCCTGTTCCTGCTGTTTCACTACAGTCAGCGCAGCACATGCCGTACTACGAAGGCACGTACACGCCACCACCGTTGGCCTTTGTCCCTGGTGCTTCTGTCGCCCATCGTTCAGTGCAACCAATTCAGTACATCGATGATCGGCGCACGTCTCCTCGAAAGTCTGATGTTTGGCGCACACCTGATCGCCGGCCTCTGTGCTTTCACTGTGGAGAAGCTGATCACTTGTACCGCCAGTGCCCATATCGCCGTCTTGGGCTTCGCGGCTTCTCTGCGTACTCACCGCCACCCCGTTACGGCCAGAGACCGCGCGACATCGAAAACTACCTCTCCCAGCAGCATGCACCACCATCTGCCGGGCGCCAGTCGCGCTCGCCATCGCCGAGGCGATTTTCATCAACGCCCCAGCGGTATTCTACCACACGATCTCCCAGCCCCCGTCGGGGAAAACTAGACAAAGCGACCTCTGGGGGCGGGGGTCGCTGAACGTCGAAGCGCTGAAGACCTCCCATTGACGCAGAACTGTACAGAAACCGGTCCGACATCACATACTGCTGCAAAGGATGGCCGACTTTCACTCGACATAGCAGTGACAATTGATGGTTGTGCAGTTAATGCGTTATTGGACACCGGCGCCGACTATTCCATACTGAGCGGGAAACTGACAACGCAGCTGAAGAAAGTCATCACGCCGTGGCATAACTCGCAGATTCGGACAGCTGGTGGCCACGTCGTTACTCCACTGGGTGCCTGCACAACTAGAGTACAGATTCAAGGGTACACATTCGTAGCAAGCTGCCTTGTTCTACGCGAATGTTCCCGTGACGTCATTCTGGGAATTGACTTTCTACAAGAAAATGGAGCTATCATTGACCTGCAAGAGCGCCGCGTCACGTTCTCAGCCCAGCGAGCAATCAACGTGCAAGATGGTGGAAGGCGTGTCGACGTACTCCGTATTTCTGAACAGAGTGTGACGCTTCCTCCACGAACAAGTGTTCTAGTCGACGTAACATGCTGCGGTTTGGGCGATGGCGATGTGGTGGCTGAGACAAATTTAGAACACCTCCTGCAGCAAGGCATTTGTGTAGCTAGAAGAGTAGTACACCTTCGTGATGGTCGATCTGAATTGCTCGTAACCAACTTTAGCAACGAGCATCGACATCTTTTCCATGGCACTTCGATAGCGTTTGCCCACGAAGTAGCAAACGTCACCAACTGTTTCACGTCCGAAATAGTGGATACCGCCGACACGTCAATGAGTAATATTGACATCAATCCTGATCTGCCCACCGTTAACCAGACTGCACTACGAGCGCTTTTGTTCGAGTTCAGGTCTTGCTTCGCAACTTGCTCAAAGATCCGCCAGACGTCCATCACTCAACACAGGATCATCACGTACGAAGACGCACGTCCGATACACCAGAACCCCTACCGCGTGTCGGCCAAAGAACGTGAAGCAATACGTACGCAAGTCACCGAGATGCTTGACGATGGCGTTATTGAACCATCGAACAGCCCGTGGTCATCTCCAGTCGTACTTGTCAAAAAGAAGGACGGGTCGCTACGCTTCTGCGTCGACTACCGAAAGCTTAACAACGTGACGAAAAAGGATGTGTATCCGCTGCCACGTATCGACGATTCGCTGGATAGACTTCGTCGTGCCCATTATTTCACTTCTCTCGATCTCAAAAGCGGGTATTGGCAAATCGAAGTAGATCAGCGAGACCGTGAGAAAACAGCCTTTGTGACTCCAGACGGCCTATACCAATTTCGAGTGCTCCCTTTTGGCTTGTGTTCAGCACCGGCAACTTTCCAGCGAATGATGGACACTGTCCTCACAGGGCTCAAGTGGCAGACTTGTCTTGTCTACCTTGATGATGTGGTGGTCTTCTCTACCACGTTTGAGCAGCACCTTCACCGCCTGCGCAGCGTGCTGGAGGCTATCCGATCGGCGGACCTCACACTAAAGCCACAGAAGTGCCACTTCGGCTATAAAGAACTAAAATTTCTTGGACATGTAGTTAGCGCCGAAGGAATCCGCCCCGATCCGGACAAGCTTGCCGCTGTTGCCGAATTACCAGCTCCTGTCGATAAGAAAGCCGTCCGGCGCTTCCTTGGTTTGTGCACCTACTATCGCCGATTCATTCATGGCTTTTCACAGATAGCAGAACCTCTGACTCGTCTCACAAGGGACGACACGCCGTTTGTCTGGGGAAAACGAGCAACAAGCAGCTTTTGATGAGCTGCGACAGCGCATGCAATCAGCGCCCGTTCTCGCTCATTTCGACGATGATGCTGACACGGAGGTCCATACCGACGCTAGTAACATTGGGCTCGGTGCAGTGCTCGTTCAGCGTCAAGAGGACATCGAAAGAGTGATAGCCTACGCCAGCCGCTCTCTATCCCGTGCCGAGGCGAATTATTCCACTACGGAGAAAGAGTGCCTCGCAGTCGTGTGGGCAATCACCAAGTTCCGCCCGTACCTTTATGGTCGTCCCTTCAAGATAGTGACGGACCATCACGCGCTCTGTTGGTTGGCAAGCCTGCGTGACCCTTCAGGTCGGCTAGCACGGTGGAGTTTGCGGCTGCAGGAATTTGATGTCACCATCGTCCATAAGTCCGGCCGTAAGCATGAGGACGCTGACACACTGTCACGCGCACCCCTTCATGTCGTCAGTCAGGAAGCAGAGGAAGACGAAGGCTTTCTGGGCGCTGTTAGTGCATCAGACTTGAGCAAACGACAGCGAGATGATGCAGAGATTCGTCCAATCATTGATCATTTAGAGGGCCAGGGCGCAATTATACCACGTCATTTATCCCGCTCGTTGACGTCGTTCTGCCTACGAGACGGTGTGCTGTACAAGAAGAACGCTCGTTCGAACAATCGTGCTTACCTCCTGGTGGTTCCTCGAGACATGCGAGACGACGTCCTCTTCGCTTGCCATGACGAACCCACATCCGGTCATCTGGGCTACTCAAGGACACTTGCCAGAGTGAGCGAGAGGTACTATTGGCCAGGACTTTCAGCAAGCGTAAAGAAGTACGTAAAGAGCTGTCGGGAATGTCAGCGCCGAAAGCAACCATCTGTTAAGCCAGCTGGTTTGCTTCAGCCCATTGAAGCACCCTGCACGCCGTTCGACCAAGTCGGCATGGACATTCTCGGGCCATTTCCTATGTCTGCGGACAGCAACAAATGGGTGATCGTCGCGACCGACTATTTGACACGCTACGCTGAAACCCAGGCGATCCCACGAGCCACGGCTTCTGAGGTAGCACAATTTTTCATGCGCCACATCGTGTTACGACACGGTGCTCCTTCCAGTGTAATAACGGACAGAGGGACGGCATTCACGGCGCAGCTTACGGACGAAGTTTTCAACTGAGCAACACCAGACACCGAAGGACAACTGCGTACCACCCGCAAACCAACGGACTTACTGAACGACTGAACAAGACCCTCGCAGACATGATCTCAATGTACATCGACGTACAGCACAAACATGGGACCGGATCTTGCCTTACGTGACCTTCGCGTATAATACCGCCGTGCAAGAGACCACGCGATTCACGCCATTTCGGCTTCTCTACGGCCGCGAAGTGCAGACCATGCTAGACTCAATGCTACCGTGTCAGGACGAAGACGAGTTGGCAACAGACGCCGAAGAATTCGCAGAGCATGCCGAGGAAGCCCGGCAGCTCGCGCGACTGCACATCGGCCAGCAACAGCAGGCAGACGCACGACGCTATAATACCCGCCACAGAGAAGTGTTTTACAACCCCGGAGATCAAGTTTGGGTGTGGACGCCCGTCCGCCGCCGTGGCCTTAGTGAAAAGTTGCTGAGCCGGTACTTTGGCCCATATAAAGTGTTACGCCGCGTCAGTGACGTGAACTACGAAGTGGTTCCGGACTCAACACCCCATGCACGGAGCAGGACACGGCTGAGGCCGGACGTCGTTCATGTGTTGCGCATGAAGCCATTTATTGCGCGTTGTTCGTAACTTTTTCCTTTACCATACAGCGTTCTTTGTGTTTTTGTTTATTTTGTGAACTTACTTTCTCGTTCATTGACGTTTCCTATGTTGGCACGCTCTTCAATTTTTACTTTCACTTCATCCGAATTTCCATTTTTTTTTCACGTGCCTATGTAGTAGCATCGCGGTGCTCCTATGTACTTCCCTTTCCTCTTTTTGGTACTTGTTTTTTTTTCTTTTCGGAAGGGGGGATAATGCCGCCAGCACGTAGTGGGTTGACAGCAAGAGCGGCTCTAAATCTGGAGGAAAAAAGAAGATCGCGTTCTTCTTTGCTCGAGAGCCAGCCACGACTGACGCATCGTCCTAGTGCTAGCTACCTGGTGCTTTATTAAATCCCCCAGTACTTGTGACTCATCGTGACAATATATATATATATATAATATATATATATATATATATATATATATATATATATATATATATACATACAAACAAAGTGAGCATAATGGGGAAGGAGAATAGGGTTCTTCCCCTTCCTTTGCTCTATGGAACAAACGCAGAAAATACAAGTCGCGACGCTGGATGTCATCGTGTTTAAAGGCGCACATCTTGCATCAACGTAGGTTTATAAGACGACGATACAGCAGGCGATTGGTAGCACCAGCTTACGAACCACTCCGGCAACTCTCAGAAGATTTACCTGCATCATATTTTTTCTATTTATATTTATCTGACATATACATATGTGCTGTGCTGACATCTTATCGGCGGACACTCGTGTGAACTCGCACATGGCTGCGCGGCGTTCACCCAGACTTTGTTGCACCAGCCTGACATAAGCAAATATATTCCCGCAGCGTAAGGACCGCGAAGCAAACAAGTAAACAAATTGGCAGCATATCCACGGAGGGAATGATGGAGAGTGGGGCGAAGCATGCATCCGTTCATTCGTTCTTGCTTCCGTTCATCCATGCGTCCGTCTGTGTGACCGTCCATGCGTCCATATGCTTGTCCGTGCGTGCATCTGTTTGTGCGTCCGTCCCTGCGTTCGTCCATGCATCCGCCCCTGAGTCCGTTCATGCGTCCTTCCATGCACCTGTCTGTGTGTCCGTTTGTCCATCTATTCAACACTCCAAGTACCACCATCCCACATCTTTTCATCATATATTCCCCATATAGAAGCACTGCCATCCAGCGCACATTCCAAGGACTAACAAGAGGTGGCACACACACACTTTCTTACAGCTTGCGCTTCGGGTCTACTTCCCACCTTTAACCACCTCGAGTTGTTCATGGTATATACTAGTTCATTGTATTCATGGCACTGCGGCTCAACGCTAGCTAAACCTTTCTAAAACTAAGAAGGTTACAACCAGCGAGTATAACGTAGCAACCCTTTCTTGTCAGATAGTGCTCAATGTACATGCCAATGGCTGCTAATGGGGATCGCAGCGTGCGCGTTAACTAAAAGCCGAATGCTCCCGTCTCTCATTCCCCATTAGCAGCCATTGGCATGTACATTGAGCACTATTTTTTATTGTTCAACAACGCGCAGAAGAAATCTCTCACTGGCACCACCTGGGAAATCAAAATGTTATACTTGTTACACACTACAACGGCTACGAGGGACGAACGGGTGCCGCTATAAGGAGCTTCGTCCCTAAAAAATGATGGGTCACACGTTCCTCGACCACTAAGGTCTGAGCTTCTACTGTGAGGCCCACGGGGGTGCTTCAGGCTCTCCCATAGTAGAGTACCTAGTACTCCAAATCGTTATCCACTTTTTCTAAACAAAAAATGAAGGCTTCGATGAAAGCGTGTATTGCGCTTCGAAAGGAGAGTGGTGTCAGAAAACGAAGTGTCGAGCGGAACGTCTGTGTTTTAAGCGCTGCGGTGCATTGCGCACAACTCGAATATTTGCTTATAGAAGACGAGCACACAAGCTTGATACACGTCTCACTTTTTTTTTCTCTACGTAGGTGGCGCTTTGAATAGTCGTGACATCCCCATGAGGGGTTAGGTGCGATTCATTCTGGGAGCATCATCATCGACACGAAGAACAAGAAGAGACGACCACATTTGAGGAAGCCCTAGATGTCTCATCGAGCGCCAAATTTGACCGACGGCGTCCGGCGTCGGCGGCTGACAGCGTGTGGGGGCGAGTGATACAAAAACAATTGTCACGTGTGATGACGTCACTTTGACGTCACGTCACATGACACCGTAGCTTGGTGAAATGTAGTCTGATCAAGAAGGCAATGCAAATGAATTGCCTCCTAACTTGGCGGCAGTGCGAGACCGTGTTAGGGGCTGAAAGCTGTCGAATATTGGCCGAGCAGGATCAATGCGTACATTGACCGAGAGGAAAAAGTCGACGACTTCCGCCTTCAAGTCTCCATAAGTGAATGCGAAAGTGGCCTTGTGAGTTTTTTTCAGACAAAAATCGTATGAAAATCGAGGCTCATTTTTTTTGCCATTGCTGTCAGGGTGCGTGTAAAGTCAAAATCGATAACATCGCGCCGCGCGTCGCATGTTCCACGTGCACGTGAAAGCTTGCGATGGGCGCGGCTCAAGTTTTGCTCGATCAGATCTATATGAAACGCGCCGGCCGACACAGTCAGCTGAGGAAGCATACGAAGGAATACCAGTGGAGGGGTTGTGGGCGTGTGTCGCTTGGGCAGAAACTGCAGACTTAGAGCAAAAGGGCGTAGTCTCCCGCGCTGTGTCTAGAGATCGGTATGCTGCTAATATCTTAATGCATGCTGTATTCGATCCGCCTCGCAATGAAGTGGTTGACTGCACGGAAGTCGCTTCTCTCACAGCTGCGGCTGTTTAACTCTTGCGCCATCGTTTGTCAGAGTTACCGGAATTGGTTTCGAAAGGAGTGGCTTCGCTTCTGCGGTGAAACTAACGTTTTAAATTGCACCGGCGATTTTGAATTATACAGTAAGAAAAACGATAAGCAAAGGATCAACGGAGTTTTACGATAAGAAAGTATAAAGTAACGCATGAATCTCGGAAAGGGTGGGTGCGCAGACACGAACATATATATAACCAGACAACACAGCGTTTTTGTTGCTTGACATCTTTTCCTTAGTATTTTCTATCTCTTAATTTCACTGAATCTTGCAACCTCTTTTAAAGCCCATTATCGTCATCCACCTGCGGCATATAGTTCTTGACCCATCCCGTTTGTTGTTTTCCGGAAGAATGGCACAATCCGCCTAGGGGGATCGGCCACGAAAAGTGCCTTAGTAGAATTCGTAAAAATTAAATAAACGAAAAAGAGCGCCGCGCAAATTTTGACCCAACTAAATTGTGAATGGACCGACATGCAGTCAGTCAATCGGTGAGTCAGTCAATCTTTCCATCGCCAAGGTAAACAGCGTAAATGACACGAAGCTTTATACTTTGAGCCTAGAGGTAAAGTGGTCTTGCTCTGCAACTGGTTAATGTTAAAATAAAAGACTTGTTCACGAGGGAAGTAACATATTGAGGCTGGTATTGATGGCTCGGTGTGACGGTGAGTGTCTGTTTGTTTGTTTGTTTGTTTGTTTGTATACAATAATCTTCATCCTCTTCACCTCGGTGTCTGAACGCGTTTTCTTTTTCGTGGTGAATTACGATTTTCTAGCCTAACCTTCTGTCGTTCTATATACGAATCAACGTCTACGGATTTGCGTCTACTTCATTTTATGTAATTTTTTCATGTATTGTCAGTCGCACTTCCACTGTGCTGCGGAACAGAGGCCTGGGCCACTGCACGGCTCTTTCCAAGCAAGACAAGGAAGAGGGCGTGCAGGTGTCTCATTTTTCCCTGTAAGTCTAAATTTCAATCACACCGGGTCCTAAATAGCCGCTTGGAAGATTACCTTGCACACGTGGAAACAAATAATGTAATAGCCACTGATGCTTCAGTAATAGATGAGAAGGCAGGAGTAGGTATTTACTCTAATTCACTTGACTGGTCGTTTTCAGTAAGACTGCCAGACTTTACACCTATTTTCGAAGCTGAACTTTTGGCAATTCTTCTAGCACTACAAAAACCAACTTTGGACGCCAACACTGCAATAATAATTACAGGCTCCCTGTCCGTATGTAAGTCACTGACAGCTTCATCTCAATCAGATGCCTTAAGGACATCCCTTACGCTAATTCCTCCACAGCTTAAGCTCTTAAAATTATTATGGGTTCCTGGACATTGTGGGTTAGAGTTAAATGAAATGGCGGACTCATTAGCTCGAATGGCATTAAATGGCCCAATACTTTCTGTGCTTCCGGTGCGGCCCAGTATAACGGCTATAAGATATCACTAATTTGCACTCAGTGCTGATGCCATAAAATCAGTAACACCAAGCACTGAATTTAGACATTTGAAATATCGATGGAATACCGGCTGGTGTCATACTAGACAACTAAAAGTCATGTTAACAAGACTGCGATGTCGTGTGCCACCTTTGAATCTATATTCACACACGGCTGGTCTGGGAATATCTCCCCTATGCAGCTTTTGTACAGATCTGGAATGAATAGACCATTATTTTTTGTCATGTCGCCGTTACAGTCTATTGAGAAAACGTCTTCTTGCCATCCCATTTTCTAACCTTGGGCTTCCCTTCACCATTGAGAATATATCTCCTTTGGTGCTTTGGTTCTGGGCTACAGCCACAGCAGTGCCTTTAGTGCCGTCTGCAGTTATCTTCGTGAAACAAAACGAATGCGCTTCTAAATTCCAATTTGCATATTTGTTAATATATTATTATAAGCAAATTCTAAACATCTGTTTTAAATGTGTTTCGAAATTACTGCAATTTTAATTCGAGACATATATTATTCTGTCTGGTCGAAATGGCAAAAAGAAATATTGCACTCTTTCTGTATTTACACGTATTTATCCTCCTCCTGATAGGATTAGGTATCATTCGAAAGGCTTTAAATTTCACATCCTCAAATCTTGGCCAATCCTCCTGAGTGGGCAAGAGCCATAGTGGAGGCATTATCATCATCATCAGCATCGTCTCGCGACGCGCGCTCTCGTGCTCACGCCCAGAGAAGAAGGAGCCAGCAGTCCCGTCGTGCGGTACTCTGAGCGACTCGTCGGCTTTCGACACAGTGGAAAGCGGCCAGACGGCACCCGATTCGCTTATGCCACTTCGGGCAAACGGTGGCCTTGCCTGCTCGAGCCTTGGCATTCCCCTGTGGCCTTTGGTTGCCCTGGTCAGTCTTGTGACGAGCGCCGCATGCCAGCAGGAGCGTCACTCCCGAGGCCGACCGCGCAAGTTCATCAGCTATTATGGCCACCGGGAGGTAAGAAGGCGTCAACTCGAATGCGCCCTAATTAGTTCTGTGGGCCTAATTGTCACCGATTTGATCAACGGCGCGTCTATTCGGACTGCCTCAAAGTACAGGCGTGGGCATGAATCCCCACTATGGTTTCTCGCATTGATACCTTGATATGCTTGAACAAGGGGAAAAATCCAGTAATTGTTCTACTTATCTTTGCGTGCGCTATTCCGTGGCGTGTGCTAAGCTTGAGAACGCTGGTTCGATTAAAGGTCATGGTGGACCGCGACCGCATTACGATCGGCGATGCCATGACCCTATGGTCGCCGGCAGCGGGACGCAAAATGGACATTTCCTCGGGTCCCACCCCACCCAGCTGGGATGGAAGACAGGTTTGCGCCCTCTTCAAGACCCTGCCGACGCGCATGCACGAGTCATCAAAATATCACCACCAATCGCATGTTAAAGGGACTCTACTGTGAAAGAATAAATTAGATTAGACTGATAAATCGTGTCCTGAATACTTTAGTGCCGTTCATTTCATCACCGTAGGTTTTGCAGTAAATGACAAAGAAAGTCGGAAGTCTTACTTTTAAGCTTCCTGCCGTTATCTCCAAAGTCCATGACGTGCGTCATGGACTTCGAAGTGTTTTATTTTATTATTATTTTGCGGGGGGGGGGGCTGGGGGATTCCCTGAAACTTTGTATGTTGAGGCGCAGGCTCCCTCTGAAAACAATGTGCTTGTTTTTATCGATTAGAAACTACGCAGATACTAGAAGACACCGTCAAAATCTATGAGGAATTGTCATCTGGTACTATGCGGCGTCGCCCCCCGCATTCTTATTTTGCGTCGTTTGTCGCTTACCGAATGTCCTCTCGCAGTTTTTCTCGGAGGTTCAATGGTGTCACTAAAGCGTGCCTTATATATAAACATTACACGGTTTTATAACGCAAGACCCCAGCAGTAACTATAATATACGCATTTATAGCGCACTGTTGTGACCTATCATGCTTGCTAGAGTCCCTGGAAGTTCCAGCAAACGGATATGTTCACTGGATCACTTACGATCACGTCGTGCAGGTACAGGAGGGAGAAAATGTCATCATCTACTGCTTTGCCGATCCGAAGGCCGAGATCTCGTGGACAAAGGACGGTTCGCCGTTGCGCCACTGGTCCGCCTGGCATGGTTACTCCGTGTCGGATTACAACGTCCAGGACTTCAAGATATCCAGGCTGGAGGTGCAGGCTGCCGACGCGGACTTCTCGGGCGGCTACAGCTGCTCGAGAGAGTCTCTCGCCAAACACTTCGTCCAGGTCACGGCGATGCAGGACTCGAGTGGAGCGCAAACAGACTGTCACGTCCTTGTGAGTGACCATCACTAAGACAGACCGGACGAATTTGCATGTATTTATCTGAGAATTAGAGTGTACCTGGTTTCGAATAAACGTATTTGATAGCATTAGCGACTGGCTTTCGAACGAGCTTCACTGTCGAACTTTTAGAAACATGCAAGCGACGTCCTCTCCTCTGCTGACTTACGTTTCGTCAAGCAGGCAATGGTCGCGTGCAGTCATCTGCATAAGTTGTGTTTCCATTTTGAACCTTCTTTGTGAGTTTGGTGCCTGCTGAGGCAGCATCTGCATAAGTTGTGACGTTCAAGCTGAGCCTACTTGGTCCGTTTTCTGGTCAATAATCATTTCAAGCTTACATGAGATATCCCCTCTCCCAACCTTGTTCTGCAGTGCGCACACTTTCCGTATACAAACTTTTTTTTCAAATATTGACAGAATTGAACTGTGGAAGCACTGATCAAATAATCTTGGCTGCACTGCTATACTTTCAGGCTTCTCTGAACTTAAAATATTTGTGCATTTACTACCCATTGTTTGCAAGCTTTACTTTTGCACTGCCGCAAGTGTACACAAGTTCTCAACCCTGAAACACGCTGATGCGCATCGAGGTGCCAGGCGTGATGCACCTGTATTTTTTAGCCGCAAATGTGTAAAACTTAAGCGAACCCATGGCTAGCCGGCTGGAGATGTTGCGCGTAGTACGCCTACCTATTCTTCGCGCCAGTTTCTAGTGCTAATACTGAAATAACGTTCTCTTGAGCGAACTGTAGAAAAACAGATACGTTACAATGAAGCTGTACTGTTCATATTCAGATTTAACTACTTGTGCGTGGATCGAGCTGATGGTGATTCTACGGCAATAAAATTCGGTGTAGGGCAACAGTGAAAAAAAAAAAAAAACGCTTCAGCATTTATCGTTGCTACTGAGGTTTCGGTGGAGCTGAAGTTACTTTGCTAAGAACTCTTTATTTGATAATAACCATGTGCAAGCGCACTGAACTTATAAGTTCAACATTTCTTTATTTACAACATGCTGTTTGTCTAAGTAGCAGTCAAGAAAAAATGTATTAGTTCAGTTCTTGTTATTATTAAAATGAGATTTATTACTCGATCCTCAAAATGTATAATATCGCTTCTGTTCAACCTGACTACAAGCTATTAAGCTACAGTTATGGCATGACTACTTCTGGCTTCTTTTTGCTTAAACCTATCCTTATAAAATTTGCGCAGCAGCAGCGCTCACACAATTGAACTTAGTGTTTGAAGCCACCCCCCCCCTAAAAATCATTGAAGAATGTGAAAGACATTAACTGAAGAGAACCTTGTACAGATTATGGATATCTGCTCAGGTTCCGAATGAATCCCTCCGACTGCGCTGTGGTATCGCGGCTCCGGAAGGAGAGAATCTCACTTGGTTCAAGGACGGCGTGGAATTATTCCCCGACAACGACCGGTTCCTGGCCGTCGGCAGGACGCTGGAGATCCTAAGGACGAGCGAGGACGATGCCGGCGCCTACGGCTGCTCCCGCGGGCGTTCGGCGATGAACGACTCGGCCGGCATTGCTCACGTCCTACAGCTGGTTACTCCCGTGCGCTTGGAACTTCTGGAAGGCGCCGTGTCCGGCTCCCGTAGGGGCGCGCGTCAACCTCGAGTGCCGGGCGTACGCCCGGCCCGACCCGCACGTCACGTGGCTGTTCGGCGACCGCAGCCGCGTGTCGAGCCCGCTGCTGAGCGTCGACAACGTCTCGATCTCGCACTCTGGCACTTACAGGTGCTCGGCGTCACACGAGCGATGCGCGCGTCTAGTGGCCGAGAGCGACGTGACGGTGAACGTGTTCGAATCGACGATCCGCACCAACGAGGGCTTTCCGGGATCCGGCATTACGCTGACGCCGGGCGCCGATGCTCTGCGGCTGTTGTGCGACTATCCGGCCGACCGCAGCGCCAAGATCGTCTGGCTGAAGGAGAACGCGACCGTGCCTTCGGGCGGCAAGTACACTTACGACAAGAAGGATCAGTCGCTGGTGATCAGGAAGCCGGAACGCGGTGATGTCGGCAACTATAGCTGCGTTGCGCTCGGTCGCATCGTTAACGAGACGGCAATGATCGTGGTAGGACTGAAGGTCGAGATTCACACGAGCCAGTCGAAGCACTTCAAGCAGGGCCACGACGGCTTTCTCTCGTGCAAGGTGGATGGCTACCCGACTCCGACCATCCGCTGGTACAGGAACGGGCACCTGCTCAACGCCTTCAAAAGCTCCAAGTTCAAGTACGGTGGCAAGCGTGCCGATGACTACAGGCACTCTCGTCATTCGTCGGCTAGGCAAGCACGACGAGGCCACGTTCGCGTGTCTCGTGGACAACGGCCACAGTCAGGACCGCGCCTTCTTTCCGGTCGTCGTGAGCGTTCCGTCTTCCCCCCTTGTACCCTTTTTCGTGATATGTGCCGAAGTTGCACTTTTGACCGTTATTGCCTTCCTGTTCGAGAACCATGTACGGAACGCCTGGATGGCCGCGCGTAGGATGACTGCGCCAAAAGGCAGGCGCACGCAGGGACAGGGACGCCGGCCGGAAGCGGAAGAGCTGCACCGAATCTGACATACTGAGGTTCATCAGCTGCCTGGAGTCTTCGGGTGATTTGGATGTGTACGATCTTCGCGAACCCGATCCCGACGAAATGCCTTTGACGAAACGAGCCGTGAACGCTGTACCTGCGAAGTCTGCCTTTCTCACCCGTGATAAGGTAACGGATGTCTCGGCAGAACCGCACGTGGCGTTTCGGCCTTCGGAAAACACTGTCAAAGTCATGGTTGAACCCCTGGAAGAATCGGCGCCGGAAGGTGTGGCAGCAGTGGAGGTGTCTCCTGACGAGGATAACATTTCTCCAAGAAAGAAGTCTCGGAAAAAGAAGTCTCAGCGCTCTTCCAGAAAGTCCCGCTTGTCAAGGGATGACTCTGTCGCGGCGAGTGTGCAAGAATTCAGTTCACCGCAGGCTACCGAATTAGAGAAGCCCATCTCGACGACTTCGGGAAAGGAGCGAGTGCCGAAGCTTTATACTGTTGTGGAGGAGACTTTGCCAATGCCTATGGCCGTACAGGATAGCGAGCCACTGTCGCAAGTGTCTACGGGCGTTAAGTTATTCGCCTGCTACAGAGCAGAATGAAAAAGCAGTGTCGAAAGCCTCTAAAGTAGATAAGGCGTGCATAAAGCAGCAAACAGAAGGTGGACTGGAAGTCTCTGAAGTAAAAAAGATCTCGCATGCAACAGCTGCAGAAAGAGAAGCAAATGTCGCAGTTGTCCAATGTGGATGATGACATCTTGCATACTGCTGCACAAGGAAAAAAGCTAGTTCCAGCAGACTGCTGATGTCGAGGCACAGAATAAAGCGATACCACGTTTTGCAGCAATACCCACTGTTGAGGTGCCGACCGGTACGAACGCGAGGGCGAAAATGAAAAAAGATGCCGAATCGCCCGCAGTATCCTCACTTTCGCGAACGAAAGCGAAGGCGAAGCAAACTACGAAAGAACCGATCACCGCGCTGCCGGCTGGAAGGTTGCCATGCACCGAGATTGTACCGTTAGTGCCGGAAACCGAAAAACTGACACCTGTACGAAAGGGCTCCCTGACCAGTCAAGGAATAGGCGTAAAGAAAAGGATGACTGCGAGAGAGCTTGCTGCTGACAATGCCTCGAGGTCCTCGCTTGATGATTTCATGTATCGTAAAGATTCGTTGTCAAGTCGGATAGTGCCTAGCGAGCTTTTCAAGGATAATACAGATCGCGGGCCCGCCGTGCGCCAAGCCGTGGCTAATGGGACGAAACATTTTCTGTACGAAGAGGAGCCATGTGGTTGGAAGTTGTCCGAGGGACGAGTTGTAGAATACACAGAGCCAGGATCAGTTGTTCTGGTGAACGAAGGTGCCGTTTCCGGCATACCAACAGCAGAGGGTGACACAGTAACAAGACGTATTAGCTTCACACGTGGCACGAAGCAAGAAGACAGCTCTGGAATGCATTTAGGGCCGAAAGGCAAGAAACGTAAAGGCTGGCTTAAGAAGCAAAACGAAGGTGAACCCTTGCCTGGGTCTCCTGATGAAAGATCCTTACCTTTTGGTGTTCATACTAGTGCGAAAATAACCGAAATGATGACTTCAATTCATTTGTCAAATCAGCGCGACGAGGCCGAAAAGCCGGGCTTGTAGAATACTACGAGGACACTAAGGTGGAAGGACGGTTGAAAGATAGGAAGAAGCCACCGGAAGGTCCAGAGAGTGGCTGCTTGACGTTGCTCGACGAAACTGGTGGGTATCCCTCGATGGCCCCGGGAGGGCCAGTTCTTCCGAACAAAGAAGCTTCATTACAACGCCGAGATACAAAAGCAGCACAAGCTCTTCCGGTTCAAAAACCGATTCCAAGTCGTCCAGAAGAAAAGCCAGTTTCATGCCTACCTGAATCGGAGCTTATTCTCGTAGCTCTCATCAGGCCAAGCCCGTTGCTAAAAAGCAGGAACACGAGTCATTCACTATTGCGTCTTACAAGCATGGCACTGAAAGCCCGTCAACTCCACCGTCACCAGAAGAGGTCACTGTGCGGGGTCGAACGCAGAGCTTGCATTAAGGGATCTGTTACCACAGAACGGCCTTCTCCTATCCACGGCGCAAGAGCGATCATCTGTCAGAACACTCTTCAGAAACAGAGTCAACAAAGGAGTCAGCTGAATTCGCTGCTCTAATCAGGACCTCCGAGGAGCCGGACAAAAAGAGCTCTGTTCCTCCGACAGCTCAAGCGAAGAGACTAGTGCCAGAAATTGACAAGGTGCCAGTGAAGGCATTAGCTTCGTTTTCGACACCGGATAAGGGTAAGCCTACTCTCGATCTTGACGAGCCACCGAGAGGTACCGAGATTGAGGAGGCCGTCCGTGAGGAGCAGCAGCAGAAAAAAGCACCGCCAGAAAGTACACTGTCACGAACGCTGCGTGAGGTGTTTTCACGAAGAGCTAGTCGGGAAAAAGACGAGCCCACAAACTTTGAGGCTGTGTTACCAAAAAGTGC